GCTCAGTGGTAAAAATGCCCCTGAGCTCAAACCCCAGGACTAAAAAATAAATAAGATAAAATTGAATATATTACATACAGTTATTACTACAGAGTACAGGGAATATCCTGGCAGCAACATGTTTTGTTTTTGTTTTTGTAGTCCTGGAAATTGAACCCAGGGTCTCACGCATGCTAGGCAAGTACTCTGCTTCCATCTTTTCACAGTTACATTCCCAGCGTCTTTCCTCTTTATTTTGAGACAGGGTCTCACTAGTTTGCTGAGACTGGCTTTAATTTGCAATCCTCCTGCCTCAGCTTTCAAAGTCAGAGATTCAGGTGTCTGCCATCCCATTCAGCTAGTAATGTGTCATTATAGGATACAATACTACAGCACCTCTGTTCAGAGAATTAAGTGAACTAACCTATGTTTTCTTCTCCTTCCTTCTTCTCTGTCAGAAGAGTTCTTGTCATGCTGAGTTTCTTCATTGTATGGCATTTGTATTTTAGCAGTGTTTTATTATTGCCTTCTGCATCCACTGGAACATAAAATGAATTCAATTATCACACTGCTTGATACCAGCAAATAATGATGCTAAGCCATAGTAATTCCAGTTTATGGAGTTTGACTAAACTACTTCCTATTATCATGGTACAGTAAGTTCAAAGTACAATTTATCTCTCCTGTTCCAAGCACAGAGAAAGGATAGGTAAAACACTACCACTTGAAGACCCTGACTAGATTCAAAAACAATACACACCTACAACGGAGAGAAATGCAAAGCTATGAGTGAGATTAGAGTCATAGACCTCATAGGCTCAAATCCTAAAGGGGGAAATTGAGGTCAGGAATTTGGCCATAGAGTAATGGGATCTATAATTCTAGCACTTAAAATATTTAGTGCTAGACCAAAGTCTTATTACTTGATTCCAGAGGTTGGAGAGAGGACATTTCTTTTTTTTTTTTTAAATACATTTTTAAAAATTTATTTTTATGTGGTATTGAGGATTGAACCCAGGGTCTTGCACATGCGAGGCGAGCGCTCTACCTCTGAGCCACAACCCCAACACTCCCACACACTTCCATTTATAAAACAAGGCTCAGGGAAAAAAAAAAAAAATTGCTGACAATTGCTGCTAGAATCATGTGGATCTAGGCAGAAAGAGGAGGCTCTGAGCCAGAGATGTAAAGTAATGAAAAACTTATATATTGCTCTTTGAGTGTAAACTGGTATTAGAGATATTTAACAATTTGAAAATGAAATTATTGATATGTGGTCAAATCAGTAATTACACTTGATTCAACTAAAATTGAAGACAACACACTAATCAATCTTCTTTCTTCCTTTCTTTTTTATTTTTGGGGAAGAGGGTACTGGGGATTGAACCCAGACATGTTCAACCACTGAGCTACATCCCCAACCCTTTTTGGTTTTGAGATAGGGTCTTGCTAAGGTGCTGAGGCTGGCCTCAAACTTCCAATCCTCCTGCCTCAGCCTTCTGAGCAACTGGGGGATATTTGGAACTACAGGTGTGTGCCATCTCACCAAGCTAGGAGCATTTTTATAGTGAGAAAATAAAACATATCACCATGTTATCTAAAGTGTATTATCAAACTAGGCAAGGTGGTAAATATCTATAATCCCAGCAACCTGAGGCAAGAGGATTCCAAATTTGAGGCTAATTCAGCAACTAAGCAAGGCCCTAAGCAACTTTGCAAGACTGTGTCTCAAAAGGGCTGGGGATGTAGATCAAAGGTAAAACATCCCTGGGTTCAATCCCCAATACTAGAAACAACAACAAAAAGGATAATATCAGTTTCCATTTATAATGGCAGTAAAATGGAAAAGAAATAAAGAATAAACTGTGATACAGTCACAAAATACTAAGCAGCAAAAAAGAGATAAATTAGCACTATGTATATATTAACAAGTAGAATCCTAAAACATATCTCAATCCTAAAAAGAGAGAAAAAAGTTACAGAATTATTTGTATAGCACATCATTGTTTATTTATTTATTTAACTGGCACCAGAGATTGAACCCAGCTGCGCTTAATCACTAAGTCACATCTCCAGCCCTTTTTCTTTTGGGATAGGGTATCATTAAGTAGGTTAGGATTTTGCTAAGTTGCTGAAGCCTGCCTCAAACTTGGGATCCTCCTACCTCAGTCTCTAGAGTTGCTGGGATTATAGGTGTATACCACACCTGGTCCTAGCATGTTATAGAAATTTTTTGTTTTTTGTTTTTCAGTGCCAGTGAAATCAAACTAAGGGCCTTGCACCTGCTAGGCAATGCTTTCCCACTGAGTTATACCCCAGGTCAAGTTTGAAAATATATAGAACAGTGATATTTATTGTATGTGGACGCATACATATGTAACATAGAACTAAATATAGGAAAGATAAACAGCAAATTCAGGACATTACCTCTGAAGACAAGAGAAAAGAATAAGTTTGGGAGGCTGGGGTTGTAGCTCAGTGGCAGAGTGCTTGCCTAACATGTGTGAGGCACGGGATTTGATTCTCAGCACTGCATATAAATAAATAAAATACAGGTCCATCAGTAACTAAAAAATAATTAAAAAAAGAAAAAAGAATAAGTTTGGAAAGGGGTATACAGGAATGTTTTTTAACTATAATCTGAGTCAGCTTGGCAAATGGTAGAATATGATGCAGCTAGAAAA